TTAAAATGTAGGCAACTTGCTTGATGACAATCAGCAGTCCTGTCATTTTCAGATGTCATCAGCTGTCTCTTGCTGCTGCTTTACTTCAGGTTTGAAGTTCCATCTGCTCTTTGCTCTTTTTTGGTTTGAAAAAAGATGCCACCATGGTGTCTAAATACTTGGGAAAGCATTCTCAAAAGACCCAAAAATACATGCAGGATACTTCAGATTTTGTTTAAAAAGAAAGAAAAAGGAATAAACCTTCAGAGTCCTGTTGGAAATTTGTATGTCTGTATATATTTGATTCCTCATGACTTTAACCTCAGCACTAGTACACAGAACTCCACTGGATTCTAATTTCCGATAACAGTTAGTGAGTTAATATCCCAGTTCAGTTTTACACTATTACATGTTGAGCTTACCTTTATGTTAATCACTAGAACACATGCTATGTTGCTTAAATATGTACATGTAGAATGCTTATGTGTGTACCCACAAAATAAAAAAAAGGATAAAAAATTAAACTGCTAAACCCAAACTGTATTTAAATCACTAACTTGCCCTACTCCCTAGTCTACCTTAGTCAAGCTTTTTAAAGTTGCTTTTTTATGGTAAGAAATCTGCTTTTGCTGCAGGATTTTTAATTTTTTTTTTTATACAAGAGCTCAGGATTTAGCTAATAAATACAAAATAGCAAAAAATCCTAATGCAACCCAAACCAAAACCCCAAACCCCAAACTGGTTCCTGGAAACATTAATGTGCACTGGTTACACACTAGATTTTAGACTTGTCTGCAGCAGGGAGCATTTTAGCTTGTAAAACTAAATACTCCACTTCTGGACTATGCCTTTCAACAAATTGTCTAAATTTTCTTGTTTCCTAAACTTTTCTTATGGTTCAAATTGTTTTGATTCTCATTCATGTAAGTTACTTTTCTGATTCTGATTTCTGTTCAGACTGTTATCCATCTGAAAAGAAAATATTTCATGATCTGCTAAGCTCATCATTATGTGCTATTGGATAAAATGGAGGGATTGCCACAAGGCTTTAAAGAAAATGATTATCATTATCATTGTTGCATAAAGATAAAAACTAGGTAGCCTTCATTATGGAAGGCACAGAAAATCAATCAATTTCTCCATTATCATGCTACTGAGAAGCATTCTAAATGCAGCTTATTAGGAAGTGTCATTCTCATCCCTAAACCAAAAAGACAAGAATAGAACCAAAAGGGGATACTGATAAGGGGAATTATTTTCCTGTGCAATTAGCAGTGTTATTCCCTTTTGCAAGATGACTTTGTAGCCATGAGTTCATGAGGAGTTTTTCCCTAAGAGATTTTTTGATTATGTAAAACATCCTATGTAGAAAGGGCTAAAATAACAAGAGATTCACAACTCTTTGCTGATCTTTAGCTTACTTCTGAAAAATAACATAGAATTAAAAATCCCTTTTCTTCTACATGTCTTATTCCACAGCAGACTTTCTGCTGTAGATTTAAAATCAAATTTTTTTCCTCTTTCTTCCAGAAATTCAATACTGATTTTTAAAAGGAAAGTGTTCCTAAACTAGCTAATCTAGGGGAGGGAGATTCAACATGATAAGCTCCTTACAATATGATCAATGGCTTTGTGTAGAAAAAGGGAAGACTACATAAGCAAAGTCTAGGATAAGGGGTAATATTACTGGGAGGATTACTAAAATTATCATGATATTTAGAGGTTTCATTTTGCTGCTTTTGGGCCAAAAATTAATCTTTGTCCAAAGAGCCTGACAAGGGATACTGGGGTGATGAACAAGCAGATATGTGAGCAATTATGGTTGCTTGCAGAAGGTGCTTTGATTTTTTATTTATTGTGGTGGTGTTTTTCCTTATTTCCTTGACAATAAAACAGAAGATAATATCTAAAAACTTGCTTTAAAAAAATTTCATTATTCTTTATGAGCTTGTTCTAAATAGGCAATGAAAAATAGTAATGGTTATTTTCCATGTAGATAATCCAGGATTAGAAGAGGTGTAGGAATACTGATCTATCATTTATTTCAAATAAATTAACTTTTCTGTATAATTCCTTATTTATTTTCATGTCTCAATGGTTTGTTACATTTAATAAAAAGTGAAATCAGTACAAGGTGTTTGAGACAAAGTGCATTTGGCAGTGTCTCAATAATACATATCTAGAGAGGGGTGAACACAGCTCCAGTCTGAATGGGTGTAGGGGAGTCCATATATTCATGACTGAGTTGCACAAAGGATGAGCTGAATCATAAAGCACTAATAGGGAAAAAACTCAATAATAAGAATAAGAAAGGAGTGCCTAATTGGTATAAAATTGGTATAAATAGGAATGGAAGTGGGATATAGGTGAGAGTGAGCTGTGTTGAAGTCTCTTTCAAGCCCTTCTCACCTCAGCCAGCCCCTTATGTCCCAGTACACACTGAAGGCTTTGGAGTATGACAGCTTCCTGATTTGTCTCCCAGGCTGGCCCTTATAAAAGGCAACTCCTGTGAGGTCATAAAATCCTGGGGATATGGGGCTTTAAAACCATTGCCAAAGTTATGTTTGGGTCAGATAAAATAAAGAAACTGCTCCAAATCCACTCTTGTGGACCTGGAAAGTTGTTACGCTGCTCATGGTGTGAGGTGGAGTGCTTTGAAAGAAGGTGACATAGAATGCAGAATCATGTGTTGTTTTCATCAGCAAGCAGCCTTTGATGCATATTTCTCCTACATCCACCCCTTAGGTAACAGATAATTGTAGAATGTATTTAATTTTGGACACATTCCATATTTACTTGCAATAACTGCCCTGTGAGACTCATTAATGCTTTAAAGCTTCCTATTAAATAGAAACCTCACAGTACTTTCTTTCTAATAAAATAAACTGAAAGGTGAAAATATTTTCTGTTTGTTTTTTAATAATGAATGTGTGCCTTAAAAAATTACTCTTAATTTGTTGGATTATTTTAGTTTTATGTCCTTTCAGAGGCATGTAGATGAATAATGAAAAAAATAGCAATAAAAGCAAACAATAATTATTCATGCTGACCTGAGGCATTTAAAGAAATAGAAGAAAGTCTAAAGAAACAGATTTCCTATAGTGCTACTTTCTTAAGTATACTAAGGTAATTAGCTTTAAGAGGAGATAATTTCAGTTCACTGAGGGTGCTCTTTTAAGTCTTTCTGGGAAATTTGGATTTTGCACTGATAGTAGTTTTAACATGTCACACTGGAGCCAGAGTGAATTAAAGTGAAGAGCTACACAGTCTAAACAAATAGTCCTTCCCATGATCAGAAGCCTGACAACATAACAGCATAAATTATGTCACATGCCCACAAGTAATGCAGGAACAATTAAAAAAAAAAATAGCAAAATCTCACTGCAATCCATAAACAATACCTGATGTCTTTTATTGAGCTAACATTTTAAGCTGTCTAATTTTACAATTTATCATGTTGCATTCTTACTGGTCTTAAGGAAATAAACAACAAACGTTGCCTGTTCTGTGATGTATTATTTCTTCTGATTAAAAGGTGACATAGCAATTCTCCATGAAAATAACTGGCTATATCCTCAAAACCAATGAATCTACAACCATTTTTAAATTTCTTTTCATGCCTTTCTAACTAAGTAAGAAAATAAAGTCTCTTATTACTGCTTGCTGTAAGGATCTCTCCCACTTTGGCATGGTTATTCTCATAACTGAATATGGAATATTCATATATCTTCATATGAATATGAAGATGTGGGCAATCATAGATGGAGAATTAAAACACAAACTGGTTGAGTGTTTTGGGCATTGCTACCTCCCTGACTCTACACAGGTGTATCTGCTATCCTTCTGTGAGGCCTGTGTGCTCCACTAGAAATGTTACATTTGACCTCTCTTAGTTCAAAGTCTTCAGTGGCACCTTGAGATAATATCTGGAAGATGAGGGTTAGGTGCAGGCAGTAAGTGGCAGCACACCCCAGCTGATATCCCTGCAAGCAGATGCCATTCCTCCCATGATGCTGCTGTTAGCCCACCAGCAGCGACCTCTACTCAACTGCAGCTACAGCAGGAATGGAAAAAAAGACTTAACCTATTTTATTTTTTTTTTCTTTCAAGTGTATGTTGCTACACATTTTTGTTGTTTAAGACGTGTTCTTCTATTGCACTTTTGACTAAGTGCAAGTTGAATGTTTAAGATGATTGCAGTGCCTCTCATCTTCTATCCTGTTCTTTGTACCTACAGACAAGAGCACTTGATAATGACAGTACCTTCATGACTGCCCTGACAGGATGGTAAGAAGAAGGATAGGTTTTCCCCTACCTGAGCAGAATTTAAAGATTACTGTGTAGCACATGTGCTTCTCAACGTGAAATCCTCCAACTGGATGATGCAGATAAGAAAGGGTATTAGATCTTTTCACATATCACTTTGTGCTTTCCCAGCCTCAGTTTTCAGGTACTGTTTTCATGGATATTGTTTGTTGATCCCATATGCATGGTCAACTACAGCTCTGGAAAGTGCTTTGAGAATTTTCTGCAGAAGCATCATTAGAAACTGCATAAAGAAAGAGAAATCACAGCGTATGAGTTTCTCATTGAGGATGTAGATACTGTTCTCAAAATTGCCTGGCTTGGTACATAGCAGAAGAGCTTTGGTATTCAGGTTTTCCAGAGTATCAGTACCACAGTGGCAAAGCTTAGAGTCTTCTATTAATCTGGTTTTTTATCATTATTTTTAATATATAAACGTTAAGGATGTATTTTACTGTTTTTCTGACTCTGACTTCTTTTATTTTTCGTATTACACTGCAAGGAATTGTTATTAATATCTTCTAATAAAAATTGCATTTGGAAAGGATAAATGAGAGGTGAAGATCCTTACAATAGCTAAAGAAGGAGTAAGATCTTAGTAGGTCCATGTTGTTTTCCTTCTCTACAAAAATCATTCTAAACAACATTAGGCAATAAGTTAGTTGTATATTGGTATGGCTCCATACTAATCATGGAAGGCATTTTTCAAAGAGAGAACTAAAATATTAAAAGTCTAAGTGAATTAGGTGCCCATCTCATTTTAGAATGACCTGAGCATCAGGAGCAAACATTTTACCCAGACTCCTAAAATCAAGACCAGATGCCTTTCTAAACACTATGCTGTAATTCAACCATATTTTTATTGGACACAGTACAGGAATTACAGGGTGAAGTTCCATGGTTTCTGTTATGTAAGAAGTCAGGCTACAAGATGGCATGGTCCCTCATGTCACTAAAATCTCCAAATAACTGAAGATGAAATCACATCTGATTTGCTCAAATTTCACTTCCTGGGTTCTTGCGTTGTCATAGTTTCGCTCCATCTCCAGCCACTGAAGCAAGTTTTGGGGAAATTATGTAGGCAAGATTTGTATTTTTAATGTAAAAAACAAGGAAAACCCTCAGAACTTTGGAAAAACCTTCCTGTGAAATTTCCACTGTCTTCAATGTGCTTATTCCACTTCAGCATTGAGCTGAAGGGAATGCATATCTGTGTTTTTGCATTCACTCTAATGCTGTAATCACCAGGCAATAAAGCGGGGAATTTATGCTGGGTTGGTATTTTAAGCATCAGCTTTATCAGAAGAATCAAAATGCTGATAAAAAGAAATAGAATCTATTTCTGGAATAGAACTTCTATGAATCTACAAATGGTAATGTGTACTGAAAAACAGAGGCCTTTCTCTTATTCTCAGGTTCGGTTATGATGGAATTCTCTTTTGAGTGTGGAAAATATCTTCTAATTTTCAGCACTCTAGAAGCCAAGTACTTGAAAGAGTCCAAGTGTGTTGAAACTTCTGAAGAACTCTAATGTCAAGAAAACCTCTGCATGTTAAACCATACTCAACTATAAAACGAGTTTTAAATGTCTTTTCTGTTGGGCAAGATCACTTGAATGAAAGAAAACTGGAGATGAGTCCTGTCTAATGTAGGATTCAAGAACCAAAAAACTCCCACCACCTTACCAAAAAACAGCCCGGAGAAATCAGCTTCGGTGGGAAATGGAAGGAAACAATAGGTATGCTTTGACCTCAGGACTGTTTTTTCCTTCATTAGAAAACTCTGGTACCCTCTGGTGGCCAAGCAATAAATCTGTAGCCCCGGAGCCAAGATGACATTCCCACGGATGCTGACATGCGAGCACGTGAGCAGCTTGGAAGCAAGAGCCGCGCTGACTTGAGTCCCCTTAAAGAGCAAAACAAAAAATACCCATGAAATAGCATATGAGAAAGTGCCAGTCAGGAAGAAGTTTCAGGCTACCAAGAGAGTGCTATAAAAAAAAAAAAAAAAAAAAAAAAAAAAAAAAAAAAAAAAATCTAACTAAGATATTTAGCACTAGGTTTTTATTAAAGTATTTTAAAAATATTAAGCCTCTACCTAAGGATTTTAGATTTTTCAGAGTATATTGTAGCAGTGCTGTATAATCACTGCAAGCATGTTTTGTGTTGTGTTCCTCTTGTCATTCAGATCAGGACTCAGTGCTGTTAAACAGAGGGAGCGTGGCACATCTAGTACACTGCTTAAAAGTCTAAAATGTGCATATGCATATTTCTTTGAAATGGAATGATACCCCCTGTTACATGAGCTCGCCTCTAATCAGATATCAGTGAAGTTTAAACTTTGTTTTATCCATTTAAAATGATGTGTATTTGGTGCCTTACAGTTCAGGAGGTTAAAAAGGTAAATGGTTTCATGTATACCATAGGCCTCTGCTAAAAAGAGGACAATAATGATGAGCCAGACACTTTTTCAGAGGTGGAAATTAACTAGTTAGAATAGTTAATCTTTTGAGATGCATCTCTGGCATTAAGTGGATTCTTCTCATTCAGCTGAAGGCACAACAGCTGGATTCTGTCATCCCTGACTGGGGCGGTCTTGTTAGTGTAGGATGACCTCTGGAGCACTAACACAGATAATACTGGCACCTCTCTCCACTCTAATCAACTACCAGTCTGAGCAATTCTACAGGAGATGGGGGCATTAAGGCCATATTATTCTAAACAAAATTCATTGATGGTAGCAGAGTATTGTGACAGCAAAAGACAGATTTTACCTTTTTTCACCAAAGGTTTTTAAGGCTAAATTTGTGGAATGGTCTGTAAAAACAGCACAGCTCCATATTTTCTCCCTTTTCTTAAAGTCATATTTTGCAAAACTAGACTGTTTGTGTCAAGAATGCCTAAGCTAAGACTCTCACAGTTTTACTGCTATATATAAAACTGTTCATTGCAACCACATATCATTAATGTGCTCTCTCTTCGTCTCTTTGCTCTCTAGATTAGGGCTGGCAGGAAATTTTTGGGCATTTAGCTGGAATGTGAAGGGCTCAGCTTCAAATTACTGTTCTCTCCTGCCCTGTTTCAGAGCAAGGCATTGAAAAAGGATCTTCTAGGTCTGAACTGACTACTCTTGTGGCTGGACCAGTGCTGTTTTGGTGAGAGCTCTTATATTTTAACCATTTTTAAAGAAGCTTCATTAAAAACTCACCTCTTCCCATGATGTACATAAACTTTCACTGAGAATATTTCCTCCTGTAAAGTTTTCAGCAGCAGCTAATACAGCTAGCTATACATGAAAAAAAAAAAGGCAACAATAACTATCAGTAGTTATGAAAAAGCAAAATCAAGGTAGATAACTTTGTTGAAAGGGATTCATTTGCCAAATGCAGGCATTTGGTGTCCTGCATCACACTACTTGCAGAACATAGGCATGCTGTTGATAAAAATGCACCAGTGCATCACATGCAAAGTAAAATATGTTGATTTTACAGGCAGCGACGATTCTGTTCATCCTTAACATTTATGACAAAATTACCAATACCCACACTGTCAACTAAGTTGAGTCTTTTCCTGCACTTCTATAGTAATAACACTTGCCCTCAGAATCCTTGGGATAATGGAATGCTGCTGCCTTGTGCCTGGCCAATATAGAGGCTTTGGATTTGGTTGTGTTTGAGAGTGGCTTCAGTTGTGTTTGGGAGTGTTCACCTCTGAAATTCAGATCCTACAGCTAAAAGCACAACAGAAATGAATGTCTGCATCTGAATTAGGAGGGTTTACATTTACTTTACTGTCAGTGGAGAGAAATAAGGTATCATTTACCCCCCAAAATAAATATTAAGTACTTGACAAATCCTGCCTTTGATTTTTCCCATCAAATGAGAAAAGAATAGTGATCAGCTGTGAACAATTTCGGGTGCTTACTTGCCCACAGTCCTTCATGTCAAAGATGGGAATAAGACCCAAATCTCCAGGGTAGATTTGCTTAATTGGAGTAAACATTGTGTTGCACTCTCTGTTGACAATTTTATTACAACAACACCAGGCTTTATCTGTCATACAGATGCAGTTCTCTGTTGGGAGGCAAATGAATTACTCAGTGTTTGAGACAGGAGCACAAAGCATCCCTGCAGTTGAGGACTATGCCATGACAAAAACAGCCATGGAGGTCAAATGCACTGTTTCTTTGGTGTGGGTGGAATGCCATTGGAGAAGTGGTAATGTATAATTTCTTGAGATTTTGAAAGATCATGGAAAATGAAAGCCTGATCCTTTAGAAATACATCAATACTACTGGACTTCTTTAGCAATCCTTTGAACTAATGATAGCAGACAAAGGGAGGTGTCATCCTCTTTGTCATTTATCTGCCTGGTGCTTATGTAGCCTGTAATCCTGATGTCCCATATCCCATGTGAGTTTGCCTGCTGCAAAGAAATTCTTGCTTTTCTTGTAAATTCTTTCAAACCCATCACAGATTTGGCAGCTTTCCCACTCTGCTGATTAGAAAATTCATGTTGGCAGATTGCTTGGAGCGTGTAGGTGATTCGGTGATTTTGTATCTTTTGCCCAAAGAAAATTTGGTTCTTCCTTTGTTTCTGATTTTTCCCATCTTCTTCTCTCTGTGATTTCTTCTACTGTTTATATTACTTGTATTAACCCCATCCAAGTGGTTTGTTCTTCCCATTGTTCCCTAAAACCCTGGCAAGTCATTTTCCTGATTGGACGTTGTCAGCAGGGGGAGCATCAACAGCACAGGAGACTTCCACCAGGGCTACTGGGTCTTCATGGAGGAATGGAGTCAGACTTGAAGACTTAAAGACAGAAGTTTGGCCATCAACAAGTACATCAAAGACAGTTCCATACCCAGAAATGTTGACTCATATGTAAAAGATAGTGAGCTCTTCATATTTACATGGAAAAAAAAAAAAAATGCCAGCCTGATACGTCAGAGTTGCCATATAAAGAAAAAAGGAAAACATGGGAAAAATAAGATCGTACTTGAGGTCTTTCTCAAATTATTTGGAATTATTTATTTTAGATATTCACTTTTTTTGTTGAGTTCCTTGTCCAGTGCTTCTCTGGAGAGTGATTTAGTTCTTTGCCGGCGCATTTCAAGGCTATTAAATTATGTTGATATTGACCAAATGAGAAATAAACCAATTTTGATTACACTGGCATTGAAAGAAAACAACTTGGGCAATCTCTATTGTCTGGACATGCTGTACACTTGGCTGATTCTTTCCTTTAGTGAGTCATTGTTTTCTGGTAAATCCTGATTAATGCTCCATGTGCATTTGTGAAAATCTCATCAGGCTAGGTTGTTGTAATTAGCGCAAACATTAATATGTTGTCAACATATGCCAAAACAAAAATGGTTGAAATTAAGAATCCAGCATTAATGTATACAATACAATTTATGAATACTTCTATAAAATTATCATTAAATATTTTAACACAAAAAATTACAGTAGCTAGAGATTTAGATAATTCACTGTAAAGATGTTACAAGGAGATACATGTTTGAACAACTTGTACACTGAGAGTGGAATGAAAATGTAAGTTTTAAGACTAAATTAACTCTGACTATTCATTAAACAGAAGATGAAAATAAACTTTTAAGACTCTCCAATCACACTGGAGAAGAGAAACCTCAAGTTTTCTGGAGTGATGCTACTGGGGTGTATAAGACTGTGGTAGGATTTGCGCCTCTGTTGTCTGAAGTGTGCAATTTGTCTTTCACTTCATGCCTATAGCTATTAGTGAACTATTTATAGGCAACCCAAATGTCCCTGTGACTGAATTCTCTGGGAAGCTTAATGAGGCAGGTATCTTTTGAATGCATTTAACTCACACCCATTATACTGCATTCAGCCATAGCAAATTTTTTTTCAAAGTAGATATAGTGCTGGCATATATACAGCCATTTAGGTGTACATTTTTTTATTATTGCCTAGTGGGTAGAGTGTTCTTCTACATTTAATTTCTCCCTAAACTTGTGGGACTTCCAGTTTATCACCCCACAGAAGAGGGCCTGTCCTGGCTAAGGAAACTCTGTGATACTCTTGTCTCAGAGCAGCAATGAATGTTCAGGACCAAGACCAGGGACAGATGAGAACTGGAGTTAGGTCTCACAGCTGGTGCCAGCCCTATTCCTTCTCAGAGGAGATGGGGAGATCCCCTTTTCCTCACCACAGCTGTTTCCTGATCCCTGAAGATAGAACCACACAAGGCTTCCAGAGCTTTGGCATGGGCAATGCAGATGGTGGGACTGTGATTTTTTGGTACCAGAAGATGGTGTAGGTAGGTACCAGCTGACTGATGTAAGTAGAGACCTTCTTTGCCTATGTTTGGGCCCCACCCTAAGTGCTTCTTGTAGCACAACATTAGAACATGCCACAGTTTTTAAAAATACTAATCCATTTGGTTTGTAAATACAGAAGTACTGTTCTTGCCTACAGAAGGACAGAAGTGGGTAGACTAGTTTGCGATCACATAGGAAGACTCCAGTATTGCAGTCTTGAATTTTTGTTTCTAAGCCCTAAGGCAGACCCTAAACAAATGGATCCTCTTTCTTCTCTGCATGTGCTTGATATTTCTCTAGCAAACATTGTAAAATTGTGATTTTCTTTTCTCCTAGGCTGCTTTTCTGCAACATATGTATGTCTTTAGTTCTGCAAGTTAAGTAGGTACAGTTTTTTATGCAGTAAACCAATTGGTATATATAGGATTCCTATGTTTAAAATGCCTTTGAAGACTTGTCCAAAGCTCACTGAAGCCAATGACATCTTTGTTTAATTTCAATGGAATATGAATCAGGATGTGGAGTGAAGGAGAAAATGTGGTCCTGCTTCTGCACTGAGAATTAATGCAGGCATCCTTGAAAGTATAGGACGCTGTTTGGTTGTAGAAATAATGAGAGCATATGGGATCATGGACTTAACAGAAATGGCTGTTTCACACTTTCTGAAGTGTACAGTATAGTCTGAAGCAGTACCTGAACAAAACTTCAGCATACAAAACTTCAACATCTTCTCTGAGAAAAGAGATTTTCTCACCAAATTTCCTTCTATCTTGAATTCAGAAAAACTGGAGAGAAAGTGTATCTCTCTATTAAAAATAGATTTAGATATATTTAAAATAGATTTATTGTAAATAAAATTAAAATAACAGCCTGAGTTTTGCCTAACATAGCAATATTTTAATTTGTCCAAGAGCTGCTATTTGTGGAATCATAGGATAATTTGGGTTGAAAGAAACATTTCAGGGTCTCCTAATCCTATCTCCCCGAAATAAGCAGGGACATTTTCAACCAGATCAGGCTGCTCAGAGCCCCATTCAACCAGACCATGAAAGTTTTCAGGGATGGATCATCCATCATCTTTTTGGACAACATTTTCTAGTGTTTAATCACACTCACAGTCAAAAATCAGTTTCACTTTTTTTTTGTCTGAATCTACCCTCTTTTAATTTAAGACTATTATCCCCTGTCCTATTTCAACAGACCTTGCTAAAGATTTTTTAATTACTGAAAAGCCATAATAAGGTCTTCCTGGAGCCTTCTGTTCTCCAGGCTAGGAAGTCCTTATTCTCTTACCCTGTCCTCAGAGGAGAGGCACTCCTTTGATTATTTTTGTGACCTCTGGATTTGTTCAGATAGGTCCACATTCTTCTAATGCTGGATCCCAGAAGGCTGGATGCATACTCCAGGTGGGGTCTCATGAGGATGGAGCAGAGGGGCAGAATCTCCTCCCTGGCCCTGCTGCCCACTCTCCTTTGGATGCAGCCCAGGACAGAGCTGTGTTTCTGTGCTGTGAGTGCACATGGCCAGGTCATGTCCAGTCCCTCATCCACCAGCCCCCCCAACTCCCTCTGGGCAGGGCTGGCCTTAAGCCCTTCATCCCCCAGCCCGTGTGGACACCAGGGGCTGTCCCAACCCCAGTGCAGCACCTTGCACTTGGCCTTGTTGAACCTCGAGCTTCCCCTGAGGTGAGCTCAGTTGAATGGAGCATGGTGCTAATAGTGCCAAGGTTGTGGTTTGATCCCCATAGGGGACACTCACTTAAAAGCTGGAATCAGTGGTCCTTGTGAGTCCCTTCCAGCTCAGGATATTTTGTGATCCTCAAGTTTGTCCAGGTCCCTCCCAATGGTATCACATTCATTTTTAAGAATTGTTTTCAAGTTTAACAAAGCTACAACAAACTGAATAATCTGTTAAGCACACACAGTTAAAAACATTTTGAAGTCCCCTGGACAGATTTGCCACTAATTGTAGCAACAGTGTGTCCTGTTAATTAAACAGAATGATTCAACAATTAGAAAGTTTTCATGGGTCAGTTTTTGGACTGATTTTAGAACAAAAATGGAGGAAAACCCCATGTTCTTTAAAGTAATAGAGGTATGAATAAACTCCACCATTTGTCAATGTCTTGTTATTATTAGCAGGATAGTTTAGTTTTTTAAAAAACCCACCTTTCAGAGGTGGCTATTTCCATTTTATTTTTTTTTTAATCTGTTAAAATGTGTTGTCTTTGAAAAAGAATTTTTAAGTGAAAAGAAAAATTATAACTACCATTTCAACTTCATCACAATCTTCAGGGATTTAAATTTAAAATATCTGCTTTTTCAAAATTTATTTACTGTAAACTGTAATACGGGAAAGCAGATTTGGCACAAAGTGTTTTGTTTTGACCTTAAACAATTTTTCTAGAGAAGGGAAGAAAACGTTCACCACTCTGGAGAGTGAATACACGATGGGCTACATTGAAGTGCACTCATTAAAACCACAAACCTTTCCACTGCTGGCAGCAGTTCACTCCTGATAAATACGAGTCCATTGCACTGTGGGTGCAATAGTGCTGGGAGATTGAAGAACCAGCTTTGAATTGAAAAAGACTTGAATGTGAGCGAGACATTTTTCTGATGAGATGGGATCAGACAGAACTATTATTTTCCTTATTAGCCTTCAGTATCTTCTGAAGCCAGTACTGTTGCAGACTTACCTCTGGTTGAACGGCACTCTACTTTCACTGTACATCTGCTCATGGAGAAAACAAAAATTGCTGCAAATAGAAAGAAAATGTATTTCTGATAAACTATAGCCTTCTCTCAAACACTTCCTGTTGTCTTCAGAGCAAACCAAAAATTTCATCATTTTTCTTGACCGTTAAGTTATTTGAATATTTTTCAGCTTTCTCAATTACCCATCTATCTCAGCAATCAGTCTATTGTTACTGAGGAAATACCCTTCAAAAAGCACATTAGGGACGTCATTTCAGTGATTATTTTCTATGGAATAATGACCATTTTGTTTCATTAGTGGCTTTCTGGTTCTAATCAGACATTTATTTTTCACATTCCCCAAACAAGGTTGCCCAGCATATGTTAAGGGAGCTGTGTGTGTACCATATGGCTAAGAAGAATAAATGCTGTATGAAATGGGGAGAGTGAAAGAGGAAGAGTAATGTAATATAATAGATAATGAATTCAGCTACATTATATGATTTTAGCATTGTGAGGTTGCAAAGATGAACGAGCACACATGGACTGTAAACCCCAGCGATTTTCACTTTCAGTATTCCAAACTCAAATTTCTTTTCCCTCATCTTGATCAGATGTCTCTATAGACATAAAATGACAAAGAAGGAAGGCTTAATTCTTGGATGGAATTGTACTGTTTAACTCCAGTTTCATTTGAGGTAAAGCTCATTAAGTCCAAATATGTGGAGCTGAAATCACCATGGAGACAGGCCTGGGATGTGTGGGCATTGGGGTACATTTTCTGTATTGCAAAACAACGTTCTGGTAATTTCTAAGTAGCAAGACCACATACTCTGGCTTATGCTAAAAAAATGTAGGCTCCAAAATAAACATTCCTTTTAGAACTTGGCTGGACTTCAGGAAGTGAATTTTCACATTGCTCTAATCATCTGCTATTAAGGTTTGAAGTCCGTAAGAATCCTCAGCACAAATCCCTAGAATGAAGAGCCAAAATAAAAATGTTTTGATTTCCTAACCAATATCCACAATTTTAAAAGTGTGTTCTGGAAAATAAAATGCTTGTTGGATGATAGCATGAGATAAAAAAGGGACATTTCAAGCCATAATTTAGCACAAATTATTATCTGATCTTAGACCTATTATTTGGAGTTTGGCAGATTCTGCGATCAAAATCCCACATAATACCGAAGTTTTCAGACTACATATTAATAGTGAAATGTGCATTTGGCTGGGCAGCTCTCTGATTTGCTATCAATAGAAATCTGGACAAATTATCTGAATGAAAGCTGGCTCAGACCTAACTACCTTGATCCACACACAGCCTTGTCCTAATAGTGCCACATTTCATAGGTGTGTTAATGTTGAAAGTTAATCATACTGAATGCTCACACTTCTACTTCTGGCATGTGTATTGTAGTCAGGGCTGTACATCATATACTTTCTGTAACCTTGCTTACAAGGATTATAACTTACGATTGTTACAGCTGCAAGTTATTTAATACCAATACCTAAAAGCTGTGCTCATTAGGCTCCTAACCCATGTCTCTCCCTGAAAAGCATATTATCATAGTTGGCAATATCAATAATTTTACTTCGAGTAAGTAATACAGCTCTGCCTCGATTTTATGATTTAAAGGTAGTTACTGAGAACCCTTGAGTTCTTAACATATAATTTAGGATCAGCTAAGTGTACACAAGACCTCACTTATTGGAGAATCAGAGGTGTATAAATACATATTAGTTTTTCTTTCCAACTTTTGTTTCAAGTGTACCTGGTAGATTTATTGCTTGACTGTGCTTCGGTAGTCTGACTCCCTGTGGTTATTTCCAAAGGTCTGCACACAGGAATATACCCTTACTGTTTTGTTGCAAAAGATTATGACATCATGGATGTTAAAGAGAGAATGAATGATGTGGTTAGTCATGCATTCAATATATTACTAGAGAGGGGGTTGTGTGGAAACATGGCCTTTCTGTCAGGTAGAATAAATGATATATATAATTTGTTTTGTCCTTCTCTTAAAAGAACAAGGGAAAGGAGATAATCTGTCTTAATAAGGGCATGCTTAGAGTATCAACCAACAAGAAAGTAATATATTCTTAAACATCCATATGTGATCTCCTTATTAAATTAGGATGTTGAGCTAAATTTAAAGTATCAATATATAAATCAGTCAGTCAGTTAAATTAGCCAGTTTTATACTGATAAATGGGAGTTAATAAAGCAATTACTTCTTTCTGAACCATAAGGCTCTGGTTTCCAAATCAGTTGTATGAGTTATGGATTACTGACATAATTTACAAGTTTTCATTTACATGACTTATACCCTTGATTTCTGAGGAATTAGCCCTTTATTGTATTAAAGGCCCAACAAAACAGCATTTACGTAACATTATGGTTGGAGCAAAGCAACAAAACTCTCTGACTTCTCAATTTATGGTGACAGTGTCCCTTAGTCTAGCTGCTGTTGTTCATAACATATAGAGAGTTAAGGACAGAATTGTTGCCTTAATATTGAAGGTCATGACTTCTCAATGTGTGTGTCGTGACCTATGTTCTATACCTGTTGAGTTTTGCCTTTTCTTTCCCTCAATTCCATAAGTACACACCACTAGCAGGCAGTTCTGCACCTATGCTGGCCATTTGCTATGAAAGAGGTGGTATTAAAACTTGTCAGTGTATTGCCACATAACCTTCACGTTTTCTATTTTTACGAGGCTTAACTTTGTATAGGTTGACGTCATTGAAGGATTGGAAATGATTACAATGTGAGCAAGGTCAAGCTTGCTTAAGGTGTGCCTTAAATAAATTTTCATTTTAATTTTTCACACACTTTTCTCTTTTTAATGCTTACTGCCTGGTATTTATCTTATTATTTTATTCAGATAGAAGTAACCTGTCTCTTGGGCCACACAAGTCTTGAAAAGCTGCACAAACTAGCCAAAGTCAGGTAGAATTTCACTGGATTCCGATCAGTTCTTTACAAAGCAGTTCTAAAATTCAAGAAAGGTAATGATTTGCAGATTAAACCATTTACTATCCTCTACCGTGTTACTCATTGAGAGTACAGTAATGCTGATGGCAATAGCTGGTATGAGAGAGAGCAATAAGGACACTTAAGGAAGACTTCATGATGCATGCTGATGGTTTCTGTGTAGCTCAGTTCATTCAGTGTTTCAAAAAGGAACCCCCCAAAACCAACTAACTAACCAACCGACAAAAACCAAACTAAAAAAAAACCCAAACCAAGCCCTAAGTCAATAAAATCATAGTCTGATTGAAAATATAATTTGTGTCATGAAAAAAAAATAATAAATGGTAGTGATATAACAAGCTGAGAAATCAAACCTGAGTATGTAGTGCCTGAGACATCCCAGATAAAGGTAAGGAATGAATAAGAAGGTAGACAAAAAAGTCAGGTAGAAACCAAGGAACCAATGGCCCATTATAACAGAATTCTCAGAAGAAACCCACCCCCACCCCCCCCAACAATATGAGAATTATATGGCCAAGAGTAGGATTTCCCTGAGACCTGGCCTAAATGGCAGACTCTGTTTTACAGACTAGCAGAATTAACAAGGGCCTGGTGGAAGAGTAACTCTAGTCTTCTTATTTACTTTGTTATATTTACTTTGCAGGCAATTCAGAAACTGGATTATCACTAAGAGTGGGATGAACAGAGAGATAGTCTTTCATCCCGCCCAGCATATTTCCATTCAAATATCAACAACTAATAGATAGGCAAAGCTCAGAGCTTCTGTCTTAATGACATGATCAGTGCTGCTGTGTGATGTGGAGCTAGTAAACTTAGCCATAAAAGAACTATTTTAATTGATAAAAGGAATCTTCCTATGACAAAGAATTTTATTTTTTCCTCACTGGAATGTGTTGAAACACATAAATATTTATTCCCATAATTATTATACCTGCCCAGTACATCATATATTTTAGCTCTCAGTCCAAGCTCCAAACATTAATGATCCAAACAGTAACTCATGACAGAGACAGTCAGGTGGTCATCTCCCCGGTATGTGTTGGAGGCTAAGTGTTGTTTTCAGATGTCAGACTGTATAGAAATGCTTGGAAGGAGATATCATAATGGGTTTCCTTAATTTTACCAACATTTACCCTCAAGTCTTGGCTAATACCTATTGTGCTAAACAGCTTTAACCAGAGCAATTTGGCCTGCTCTGCTGGCATTAATATTGTTGCAAGGTGTCAATAGGTCTTCCAGTTATAGGCAGATAGGTGTTACCTACACATGCCTGGCTAACAGAAAGATAAATGGATTTACTGTAAAATAGGATATATTCATAGTAAAATATCAAAGTGTCTTAATAAACTTAATTAAAAAGGCCAATTTTTGATAGACCTAGAAGAAACTGGTTAGACTGACTAAACTATTTCACTGTTGACTCAGGAGCAGCCAAACTGCTTCCATTTATACACCTTTCTTTTTGGCCTCAATGAAAATGAGAGTTATTTAATTATTTAAAAGAAGTGGCATTTTGGCAGAACTTCACATTTCCCTTCAGTCATCTATAAATTTATGAGATTTTAGATAGCAGAACTTCCCTTAATATACCTTCCAGGATGTTAAAGAAAAGCTATTTGTTTACGGTATACGGAGCGATGCCAGATCTGGCTAGTCTGGAGGCAAGATTTTTCAGGCTTTTGATCTGCAGGCTCTGGTTTCCAGAATGTTGAGATCCATGCTAAAAAGGAATCTGGTGTACAGAGTCTGTTCATTGCATTGCCACAATTATAAAACAGAACCAGATAAAAAGATTGATAAGACCGGATTGAAAGTATGGAACAATGACTGCAAGAACAGTGACCTAAAGGACAATGGTCTATATAGAGGAGGTATGACTAAAACAAGAAGTATGGGGAAGAAGTGAATATGAGATCTTTATTTACTTTTTCTTCACACAAGAACTCAGCACATTAAAACAGTTTCAAGAGAAGGCCTTTTTTCTCTCCCCACATAACTAAATGGTGGTCATGGAGTACTGTGGTACAGAGTTGTTAGCCACGCACTGCTAATGGAAAGTAAAATATGAAAGTATTTGGAATCAAACAGTACTGAACTAATTCCTGGAAGACAGATATATCAGTGACTTTTAAACATGTGGGAAGTTGCTCCATGACTGCTAAAAGTGGGGAGATTGTATCAGATTTTTCTGTACTTGTTTTTTATTTCCCTACATGAGCACTGTTGGGGGTGGGATACTGGGCTATACAAACCATTGTGTCCATGACACTTTTGTCATGCTTAATTTTCAAGGATTTAAGGGTAGAAAAATTCTCCTTGGTTATTATTGATTATTACCTCATTCCGCTAAACTGTCCTTCAGACCAGATCTCCTTCTTGCTTTTCTGGGCTTCCTTCCTTTTCTCCATTTTCTTCTTATCACATACACACCTTTTAGCATTCTTATTAGAAGGACATTGCAGATGGAAGGAACCTAATTAATCTATTGAGTATTGATACTTTGTACAGCCATGCCTGGACTCTAGAGTAATTTTTCCTTTAGGGTAACTATTGAGAATGATTATAATGCTGCCATGTCCATTTTATTGACCAGATAGGAACTAGATTTTTCATACCTGATTGTTCTGAGCTAGACTGATTGTTTGTGTGTAACTTTTGGTTCTATTCAGCATAGAGGATAATGGTTCTAAACAACCACATGACCATGACAGTTAATGCAAGCAAAAACCAAAATGCTTACGGTTTTGAAAAACAAAGAAAGGAAGATAAAATTCAATCTGCATATACTTAATATTCTCCAAAATGTTGCAGTTTGAATAGGAGGCTCTTCCAGCTCTGAAGCCATGATGTAATACTTCTAAATTCCTTTGAGATGATTAGACTGGCAGTTTAGCAGCTATCATTCAAGATAGACTAGCATAATAATGATCGCAAATAACTCACCACACATTGCTTCTACAGCTCTTTGTACAGTATGGTTCATATTGCTGTTATTCAGCTCCTACAGGTGAATTTGATGAAGTAAATCTCAGAGAATAAGTACTTAATTCTCTTATACGTGTTAAAGAACACAATCTGATGGGTTTTATTTTTGTTGGGTGTTTTTACACCCAGTTTGTATTTCTGCCTCTTCCTCTGAGGTTATATTCTTTTATATAAGCATGGAGTTTCATGTATGAAACTGGAGAAACGACAGAAAAACCTCCTAGGCTGCAAAGATGTAATGGAAAATAAGCTTATACACTCATCTTTTGTTTGGATTATCCTGAGACATTTTATCATGGCACAACCATTGTGAAGATTTTGGTTGATTTCAGCCACCTGGACTAGTGCAAGTCACTCCTGCCCATGGCAGAAGACCTAGATGATCTTTAAGGTCTGTTCCAACCCAAGACATTCCAATATTCTGTGATTCACTTTGCTTTCCCTGGAGGAGCTTGGGTGCCTCTCTTTTTGTCTGTGCCACAGACAAAATTTTTCCCTCCATGGAACTCACTGGCCAGCGCAAGCAGACACCCTTCCCTCTGGAGGTAGCACTTTCATGGCATGGCTGTACAGGCCATACAGGTGCCAGGAAGGTGCAAGATCCCAGAGGGATCTTCCTTCTGTTTACCTATAGTGGACCCTCAGGTGCCATTCCTGTCACCTTTGCTGAACCTCCTCTCTCCAGGGAAGATTTATATTCTTTTGATATTGAAGAGTTAAACAAGGGAAAAAAAGACTTTCACGCTGCCCTGTAAAAATCATGTTTTGCTGGCAAACAGCAGCAAACTTGCTAGGCTTTCTTCATTAGAGCCTTGCCATTTAAGCCATCAGCGTCATTTTGTGAGGACATCAAACATGT